CCGAAAGCTTGCTTAATAATTGTTTTCCAACTATTTAAGTGGGCCTAATAAAAGATATCAGATCACCCAAAGAACCTTGTCTACCATTAGTATAAAAAGACTATGGTGAAGCAGTTCTCCAATGGCATGCTAAAAAGACTGAAAAACTAGGTATGGTTGTTTCAGTTAATACACCATTAATTTATTATGTTTGGTTACTTAATGCTTACTTAATAATCATATATGGTCAAAAGAAGGTTCTTTGCTAGATTTGAAATCTACCTGTCACCCTGACAGCAAAATACCAACTGGGCCTTTTTGTTTGTTTCAAAATCTAACTACTAATGTGTTAAAAAAAGAAGAAAAAAATGTGTGTAAGTAAAATATATCCGTAAAGATAGCTAGCTGTAATATTTATGACAAGAGAATGTTTTAGAACTTATCAAAGAGAATGACCCTGTAGTTTCTTCCCCAAAACAATCCCAGTTCAAAAAACTACCATCGATTTCAGCAGGTCCAAGATTTTATGCCTGGTTTCTATGCCTAGGTTGGTTATGGAACTGCAATGTGACCTTGGATAAAGTCCTGAGCCCATCTTGTCTATTCAGACAGCAAACTCTTCTGAGCGGTGTCTGGAAGTCTGAGGCCCTGATTTCAACTGGACTTTCTAGGAAAGACTGTACCAACAACAACAAACACAGTATCTTAGCAAAATAAGGGAACACTGATAAGCAACTTTTTCATTCTTAGTTGAAATTTAATCAGAGTATTGGGAGTTATTTATTGTGCATATCAATTTACCTATAGAACTTACATTTTGTTGGTGTCATTTCTTACAGATGAGTCCTGTTTAAGATGGTAAGCAAAAAGCTGAAATTTAAACACAAACACCTGTAACATAATGCATTTCTGTCTCAAATTAAACCAGTGTATGTTCTAATTTATTAAATTAAAGGTGTTAAAAATGTGAGGATCTGACCAAACACATAATGGTTTTAGTGTTTTGATGGCTCAAGTCTTCAATTTATAGTTTGGGTAAAAACTCCAACACACAAGATGGTATAGTGAACTAAATGTTATGTTGAATACCAAGGCAGCTTAAGCTTCAAACAGCAAAATAATGAACTGGGAGATGTGGGAGAAGAAAGTGAATTACAGGCTATAGAAACCTTGTAAGGGTGGGGGAGTGGCATAGCAAAGGGCAAACTGAAAAATGGAGTTAGGTATTTGAATGGTTAGCTAGGTTTTTCGCATTTATAAAGGCCACAACTATTAGAAGAACCAGCCAATTGAAGCTTCTGTGTTTAGCTTCAGGCTCTGCTTAAAATCTCATGTGACTTAAAAGTATGAGCCTTTCCCTTTTCCTGACCCTGACATAACTGTCCTTTTTGTCTTTGAGAAGTTTGTTGTTCTTTTGCAGAAAGTTGTCTTACTTTTAGAAAGTAAAAGGCACTGAATATAAAAAACCCCTTCCAAACAACATGAAAAGGGATAGGACCAACAACCAAAAACAACACATGGAAACATTTATAGACATGGAAACATATACTTAAAGTGCAAATAGAAATGAATAAATGTTATGAAATCTCATCAGACTCTACTAGCCCAATCCTGACCTCCTTAAAGTCAGTGGCAAAATTCATAATGTTTCAATGGGAGCAGTGTTTTACTTAAATAAGATGTGTCAATGACTAGCATGAATATTTATATAGTAATTGAACTAGTTTTTAGCATAACACGCTCTTCTGTATGATTGCAATGTATGTATCACATATTGGTTTGCACTGCTCCTGTTTGCACTGTCTGTAAGCTCTTTGGGACAAGATTTTTTTGTTTCTGTTCAATACACAATGTCATGAAGCATTGTGCACACCTAAGGCATTATGTAAATAATTAAAACAAATTGTAAGATGGCTGTGTAGCTGTTTCATTAATAGTGCTGCTTCAACAGAGAAGTCCCAGTTTGTCTTTTAATGGGCTAGTTATTTTTAATTACTTCTGGGCTGTATAGGCCCCTATCTGTTTTTCATCTGTTTGGCTGGCTGTTCTCATTTACATAATTGTCTCATTAGAGTATAAACTGGGTTCAGTCAGCCACAGTTCAAACAACCTGTAGAATGTTTGCCTTTCTGTTTCTTCTACAATTTGCCGTTTTGTAACAGAAGAGCAGACGTTCACAAGGAAGAGAAATACATGTCAAATCTGAGCTATAAAGCCAGATTGGATGTGCATTGTATTTTTGATACTGCATAGATTATTGACTGGGGGGGAGTTTGGGTGAGGAGGAAGAAGGCAGGGGTGGTGGGGGTTGTTTCACTGTTGAGGTCAGTGATGAAATTCCAACATAAATGGGAGACTTAAGTGGGAGAAGGCTCAGACCCTTTATTAATAAGTTACTGCTGTATATAGCATATAAGTGGGCCAAGAGGTTTGTTATTTGAGAACATCTCTGGGAAGCCTACACCACAGACTCAAAGTATAATAAAACTCCTTCCACAATACCCCAAACTTCCTGAAAAATGGACCAGTAGTATTATACCTACCCCACCCTCTGAAGTGAATATCTGTTGTAACACAGTCACCCCTGCAGCTACAAGGGATGTAAATTTCAAAGTCTGACTTACAAGCAGGAACTTGTTCTTTTAACCAGATGAGGTTATACCAGGGGTGAGCAAAATGCTACCCATTAGCTAAGATTCAGCCCACCAAAGGATTTTGTCCAGCCCGCAGTGGGTTCCTCGGCCCCACCTTGCCAAAGGCACAGGGTCTCAACTCACCTGGGTGCTAGGGCTGTGAGAAATTTCACTGGCTGTTTCATTTCAACACTGTTTCGACTCATTTTGAGCTCAAAACAGTGAAATCGAAACAAAATGAAGGGCTTCGAAACAGCCTCGAAACAAAATGAAGCTAGTCAAAATGTTTCAAGTTTCGAAGCAGCCAGCAGCCAGGTGGTGGGAGACAAGGGAGAACCAGGGCTGCACTCCCAGCAGCTCCAGGCTCAGCCAGGTGGGGAGCGCAGCCCTGGCTCTCCCCACCTCCCCTTGCCTGGCTGCGGGAACTCGATCATAGCACAGGGGAAGGGAACTGAGACCCGCAGCACTCCAGTCAGGCTGGGGAAGGAAACTGAGCCCGATTGCTCAGTTCCCCTCCCCAGTGTGACTGTTGGGCTGGTGAAGGCAACTCAGCCCAGCTGAGTTGAGTTCCCCTCCCCAGCGCGACTATCGGGCTGGGGAAACGATCGTTGCACTGGGGAGGGAAACTCACCCCAGCTGGGCTGAATTCCTTTCCCCAGCCTGATGGTAGCACTCAGCTCAGCCCCAGTTCCCTTGCCCAATCAATCCCAGTGCTGGGGAGGGAACTGAGCAATGGGGCTCAGTTCCCTTCCCCAGCTCCCCGGTCCTAGATGGCATCCCTCCCTCATCTGGCAGGCAGATCAAGGGCCTGCAACTCTGGGAGGACTGGCACAGTCCCCACAGCCCTCCTGGGGTTGGGGCCCCGATCTGCCTGCTGGACGAGAGAAGCTGTTTTGAGCTTCCCCATTATAGGGTATGGGCGAAATGTTGAAAAAGCGTCCCTGTTTCAACAAAACAAAATGGAACAGCTGTTTCAAATCAAAATGAAATTCAAAACAAAATGCTGTTCTGTTGAAACCTTGAAACACAAGTCGATACAGAACAGTGCTGTTTCGCACAGCAATACTGGGTGCATAGTGGGGCTGGGGCAGTGCAGTGGTCAGACTTGCTTCCTCACAGCCCCTGCAGTGGCGGCTCCTTCCAGCTGCTGCTGCCAGTCTCCACTGCTGCTGGATCCAGCCCTGCTGCCTGGGCACCCCAGCCTGTTCACCCCACACTCAGCTCTGAGGATGCCAGATGCAGGCTGTGTAGGGGGTGCATGGGGGTTCACAGGCAGCGCTCCTCATTTAGGCAATGCGTGGGGGGGCAGGCGGAAGTGCTGGTGCCCCCCTGCAAGTGCTGGCCGGGGAGTGGGGGGGCATCAGGTGAGGCGCCGCTGGCACTTCCGGGAGTGCTGCTTGTGCTTCCCGGTCAGTGAGATTGGTTGTGGGGGGACCCCCCCCCAGTTGTTGACTGGTCACTGGGGGGGCACATGGCCCCCCTGACTCAGGTGGCACCAATCACCCGTGCCTGCACGTGGGCAGGGTCTCCATGGAAACCAGCCTGGGACTCTCAGGGCCTGGGTATGTGGCCAGAT